CCCCAACTCCTGCCCTGAGACTGCTCCAGGAAGGGCGCCTAGGATCTCCAAGCCACTACATTCAATACACGCTTTCCTGGCCCATCTTTCAGGACTTCGCGAGAACGGTGAACAGGTGAGCAGATAATTCCTTTAAATATTCTTTTTCCTTCCTCTCTCCCAACCTCCTTTACTTTCTTTCTTTGAAACACCTCCTAAGCTTCTCCCTCTGGTCTCTGGAACTCAGCACAACATACTAACTGCATACTTACTCCCCCACCAAGACTTTTTTGGTTGCCCTGTTATTCTTAAGACCAAGTCCCAAATCCTTACACACCTACCAGGCCCTTCATGATCTAGCCCGGTCCATGTCCACCTCTCCACCTATCATTTCTCCCTGGGTTTCAGACACCCTGCTCCTTTCGGTTCCCGGAATACACACGTTCTTTTTCATTCTCCAGGACTTTCCAAAAGCAACTTCTGCCGGTGATGCTCCTTCTTCCGAGGGACCTTTCTCCGCGTTAACTGGGCCACGTCCGAAAGTCACCTCCTCAAGAAGGCCTCTCTAACAGCTAGACTGGGTCCCGTCTCCCGCTTTGCAGTTGCCCTCCTGTACTTCGCGCCGCGGCGACACGCTCGGCCTCCCGAGGGCTGGGGTCTCGTCCGTCCGGCTCCCAAAGGTTCCACCGTGCCCGACAAGCAACCGGGCAAGCAACTACGCCCACCGATTCGGAACACACCGCTTCCCGCCCCGCCGGGACGTGCCCAAGCCTGGTCTCGGGCTCTCTCGTTCTTGCGGGGTGCGACAGACCCCCTGCTCTCCCTGCTCTGCGGCGGGCTCTCCGGGGCTGAGGAGGGAGGCCCCGGCCCCGTGTCCGACTCCCGATCCTCTCCCGCCCGGGACCCGGGCCTCCGCTCCCGGGGGCCGGCCTGGGGCGGCCGCGGCGCAAACCGCCCCCGGAGACCTCAGCCAAAAGCGGCTTCAGCGAGGCGAAGGCACCACCACCCGCCGCTCGACCTCGACAGGCTCATCGAAAGAACCCGGAACGACCAAGAAGCGCCCTCAACCTACCTCCCACGGCGCCGCCACCTTTCTCCCGATCCGGAAGCGCCGTTCTTGCGGAAGCGGAAGTGGTCGTGCGTCGCTTCCGGCCCCGCCTCGGCGTCACGCTGCCGTGGCAACACGCCCGCCGCAGGGACTTGACGCAGGCGTAGTTGTGCGCGGGTTTCGTTCCTCGGGTCGGAGGGGGTGGAGTGGGGGTGGGGTAAAGCGCGACCTGAAACCCCAGGTTGGGGACAGAAGGCCGGAACTGGCTTCCCAGCTCGCGCGTGCGTTCCACTTAGTCAAGTTTGCGCCGAGCTCGGTTCTAGTCCCGGAGTGGACAAGGTGGTGAGACCCCAAGTCTGGGGGAGACATGAGAAACAGATCAGCCAAGATAGTTTCAGATTATTCTGCAGGAGAGAAAACAGGGTACTGTGCTGGAGAGTGACGGGGTGGGGGAGGGCAGTGAGTGCTACTTTAGAGGGAAGGGAAGGAAAGCTCTTTGCGGAGTAACATTTGAGTTGAGCTGTAGACTAAAAAGCCGAGCACAACTCTAGATGGAAGATGGTCCCAGGCTGGAAGCAAGGACAAAGGCCCTGCACCTGATCGCTGGAGGAACTGGAAGACGGCCAGGGCGGCTGGAGCGGAGTGAATACAGGGGAGAGTGGTGGAAGTCCAGGTCAGAGGTGGGCAGAGGCTGCTGGGTTAAGTTCAGATGAAGCTAGAAGCAGCCTTGCAGATGTAGTCCAATCCTCCCGTTTCAACTGCGTCCTGAAGAAACTTGGCCTATGATTCAAAGTAAAGCTTTTGAGTCCAGGCCAGTATATATAGCACTCAAACTTTTATAGACTTATTGAACAGTAAACATAACCATATTGGCAACTAGTTTTTCACTGAATCCGATAACAACACTGTGTGGGGATTGTAGGATTATCTTTATTGGGTGTTATCAGCCTCCCCCTCTGGGTGAGAAAATTAGGGCTTAGTGTAACTTGTCCAAAGGGACTTATGTGGCCCAAGCAGGATTCAAACCTGTGTTCTCTCCACTATTCCGCTATCCTGCCCCTCCCTGCACCTACCACGTGACTTCCTGGGTCTTGAGCTGCCCAGCAGTTTTGATTAAAAGCGCACAACCTGTATTTCCGTGAAAGTCTGGAAGCGAAGCAGGCTGGAGAAATCATGAGTACACATCACATCACACACCACACACACACTGCCACCACCCACTGGCTGCCCCAGGCCTTGGGTGAGCAGCTGGAAATCTGCCTGGTCTGCTCTGGAAATACAGTGTTGGTATTACCCACTGTTGGTGTGTAAGGCCTTGAAGAGCAAGTCTGCTGTTGGTGCATATTGCTCCTGGTGAACATTCTTACCCAGAGTCTTGTTGGTATTTGCAACATTCAATGAAGATGATGGGGGTGAATGAACCCATAAAAAGCTGGAACTAGAAGGCAGACTAGAGATCATCCGGGCCAGTGGTTCCAAAAGCACTGTGCCAGTCTCCTGGGAGGCTTTTAAAAAGTGCAGTTTCTCAACTTGGCATACAGACCTCAAGGGCTTCAGGTGCCACTGTTGTATCATATTAAGATCCATGGACGTGATAATGACATTGTAGTAATGTATGAGAATTTTTCGGCAGCAGATACATGTTGAAGTATTTAGGGTCACATAGGATACTGACAACGGATATTTTCAAAATGATTCAGCAATGTGTGTCTGTGGATGGTGAACCTAGGTGAAATCTATATGGGTTTTCACTGTACTCTCTCTTCAACTTTTCAGTTGAAACTGAGAAACTTTTTTCAAAATTTAAAAACAGTCCATTCCCAGATCCCATTTCCAGGTACTCTGTTTCAGTGAATCTGAATTTCTCAGCCTCCCTCCATTCTGTTGCACAAGGTTGGATACCACTGAGCTCATTCAACACTCGACTTTCCTCTCCCACCCATTTCACAGGGGAAAAAGCCGAGGACCCAAGAGGGTGACTAATTCGATATCACCCAATTGGATTAACAGTAACATCAAGCCTGGAATGCAGATCTCTGTTTCATCATGAAAAATTTAGCGCTCTATGCCTGTGTGTGTGTGTGTGTGTGTGTGTGTGTGTGTGCGCGC